ATGTATGTGTGTGTAATGATACTGAGCCAACAATACAACCTGTAAAGGAGTGTGGAGTATGGGAAAAAAGGCGATTTGTCTGTCTGTAACGGGGGAAATGCCACTCTTCTGTAATTGCACCAAACACGAAATCGGGTATGTTCTGGATCGCAGTACCCTGAGGGCTCGAGCGAGGCAGCTTGGAGTTGCTATGGCGATCTTCTGTGACAAATTGCCATCGAGTAAGCGATCCATAAACGAGTTGATCCCTACCGTCTGCGGAACGAGTGATCGGTTGGTTGGGTCTGCGACTTGGCCACACCGAAGTTTTAGCGTTTATTTAAGCGTAGATATCTACAGCGCACCGCTGAGCCTTCCTCCGTACCTCCTCGCGGATATACGAAGAAATATTGGGTTTCGAGGAATATATCTTGTTTCATAATTGTTGAGCTTACTTCCATTTTTAGTGAAAGTGTTTGGTGAAGAGATTCAAAGGTCGATTCCACCAAAAGACGACGGCGGATTCCTCTTAACCAGCTGCCAATTGGCTTTACTTGAACATTCATGCTGACGTTGTTTCCGAGGTAATCTCCTTCGATTCCGGTGAAAAGGTGCTAAGCTCTTGTCCGTCATATGACGAACATCATCAGAGCAAGTTATCATCGTTACAGCCAAATTCAAGCTAACGAATCAAGAAAACTCAGATGGGCCAGATATAGAGTATATATACCGCTTTTTAGGGATTTTCCGGTGAGTTTTCTTGACTTGTTAGCTTAAATTTGGTTGCGACGATGATAATTTGCTCTGATGATGTTCGTCATATGAAGGACGAAAGCTTAGCATCTTTCATCGGAATAGAAGAAGATTCTCTCGGAAATAACGCCAACAAGAATGTTCCCGTAGAGCCAATCGACAGCTGGTAAAGAGGAATCCACCATCGTCTTCTGGTTAAATCGGCCTTCGAACCTCTTCACCAAACACTTTTACTAAAAATGGAAATAAGCATAAAAAGTTTGTAATGTACTAGAATGCGTTATCCTGAGATCTTTTCATGAGAGTTTATCCATCCAGCCCGGGCATGACGAGTTGCCTATTTTACTTGAACTGAAGAACCTTGAAGGGGGGAAGGGCTGTCGGTTACCATCGCTTCCCCGGACCTTCAGGCACTCAGCATTCCTGCCAAGTGTCTTGTTGAAGGTCCTGTAGCCTTAGGGTACCCAGAATGCTATGACAATTTATTAACGATAAGTTAAGATTTTAATTTTTAAAATATAATTTATTTTGAATTGTGCCGTAGCGGCAGCCAGAGAGGAATTATTTTCCACCTAGTAGCTCTCGAACAGATTGCACAAATGAGAGAGTTTGCTTTCAGTAACATAGCATTACTTTCCTGAAGGCCGCACTTGAAGGCAATACAATTCATCCGGATTGCATTAGCACGTCTGCTTCAGTTCTAAGATGACCTCGATGAGTATCGCTCAGGAAACCAGACTCGAGCCTTACACTATCGCTTCTTTCCTGTACCAAGACCGGATGGTTGTACGCCCGAGTAGTCGTCTCAGGCTCATAAAATTGAGAAATTCATCCACATTTTCCTTAACTTGCGACCAAAGTACAGTGTTGTCATCCATGTATCTCATAAAACATGCTTTTACTATGCTCCATTTACAATTAATGTCAATGGTTTTTTCCAAGATGGATTAAAGCAAAGGCCCGATTTTGCATTTTGCGTTACAAAAGCCTCCCTCATCCAGACTGAACAACAGGTTAAAACTCGCTTTATCGCAACCCTGCAGGACTCAGACCGTGGATATCTCCCACGCAAAGTCTTGCTGATCTCTGCTGCAAGCTTAAAACGCTATTTCATTATTTTGGCGACATGAAAAGGATAAAAATAATTCCTAAAAATCACATATTTATTTATTCCTTACCCTGTTAGCCTCCAGAAGAATTCCTAAATTCCAATCCTCCTCAGCGTCTCGGAAAAGCGTAGAAATCTCTTTTTCTTCTGCATCACCACCAATCAGATTATAGCGTAGATATAGCGTTGTTACCTTTTGCTACAATAAAAAATAGTTTGGCAGTTATCAGCTTCAAATTTATTATTGGAGTCAGCCTCTGAGCGACTTAGGGTATCATAGCATTCCATCAAACATGGACCCTTTTTTTGGATGAAATCCGAAGAGAAGCCGCTTTACCTTTTTGCTATATCTTGGCCCCATGGAGCAACTTCTGCTTAATATTTGTTATCTAATCTTTCAAGTTAGCTCACAACGACCGTCAATTTATATATATATATATATATATATATATATATATATATATATATATATATATATATATA